ACCATCCTCTGCATCCGCCTGAAAGCGCAGCTGCTGCAGCTGATTGAACCCCCCCTCATGCTCTGTATCGATGAATATTATAGGTTTTCTTTTGGGTCTATCATATGGTATTTGATGGCCAGCATCTTGCATGCGTTTTCTATATTTTTTTTTTTCTTCTTGTATAAATTTTTGTCTGTTTTTTTCTAGCTGTATAAGAAACATTTCTTCTTCGTGGTTCAGCAGCATCTGCTGCTGCATCACCGCATGTATATCTTCATCTCTCATGGGGCTTGCATGCATTTTCCTTAGATATTCTCTTTGTTTTGGCTTTGGTGTTGCTGGGGGTTCAGGGTGTTGCGGTAGCCCCAGTGTAGTTTTTACTTTTCTTATAAACAGCTCCATTGTTTTTCTTTGTTTTTTGTGAATATCATCTGTTTGTATTATATGCAAATGCCTCAATTCTTCTTCTTGTTGTATATGCCGTTGCTGCTGCTCTCGCAGCTCCTCACCATACACCCCAGGGTGTATATGCAGCTGCTCGCTTTGCAGCTGTTTCAGACGTTCAAGCTGCTGGCTATGCTTTCCACATATCTTTTGCAGCTCTGCCTCTTGCTGCTGCTTCAGCTTTGATATTTCATCTAGCAGGGTTTGCTGCTGCAGCGCGGAACAATCTCTTCCTGCTGCAGCAGCAGACATAACCCCCCATATATTTACTTGCTGCTGCTTCGACTCCCCTACAAAACATTCGTGCTGCGCTTCAGTTCCTTCTGTATATGGAGGCTCATCGGGTAACTGCAGCAGCAGCAGTTCCAGTTGCTGCTGCTGTTGCTGCTGCAGCAGCTGCTGCTGTTGCTGTTTCTGTTGTCGTTGGAGTTCATGTTGCTGTTGCTGTTGCTGTTTCAGCCTTTGCTGCTGTAGCTGTTGCTGTTGCTGCTGCTGTATGTGCTGTTGCTGTTGTTGCTGCTGCTGTATGTGCTGCTGCTGCGGCGACAGCAGCTGCTGCTGCTGCAGTTGCAGCACACTGAGATCATGCTGAGCTGCATGCAGCTGCTGCAGGAACTCTGGGGGGGGGGAGAGGCTTCGTCGTCGATCAGCACCTCCACTGCGGGGTGCAGCTCGGGCTCGTGCTGCGCCGAGAAGAGCTGCTGCTTTTGCTGCATTAGTTTTTCAATTTCCTCAATATCTCGCTTCACTATTTCAAGTTGCTGCTGCTGCTCTAGAATCCTTAGATTCTGCTGCGAATTAGACCGACGAGTTTGCTGCTGCTGCTGCTGCTGCTGTTGCTGCTGCTGCTGCTGTCTTTGTTGTGCGCGTTCATATCTCGGGCGCATCTGCTGCTTCTGCTGCTGCTGCATGGTATTCCTTATCTGTCTTGGCATTCGCTGTGTTATTCGTTGACGTTCTTGTCTTTCATGCTGCTGCTGTTGCTGCTGCTGCTGTTGCTGCTGCTGCTGCTGCTGTTCTAAGGGGGGCGATGGCACTGCCTGTTGAACTGTAACAACCTCCAGCTGCGCATCGTCCAGCTGCAGCTGCTGCAGTTGCTCATGGGGCTCTTGTTGCTGCTGTTGCTGCTGCTGTTGCTGTTGCTGTTGCTGTTGCTGCTGCATCTGCGATATGTGAAACTGATGATGCAGCAGCAGCTGCTGCTGCTGCTGTTGCTGCTGTTGCTGCAGTTGGTGGGGCTGGGGCTGGGTCTTCGCATAAGGCTTCCTCCTGCGTTCAGGGTGTTGTTGCTGGTGGGGTTGTTGCTGCACACAGTGAAGCGCATCGAGCTGCTGCTGCACTTCCTGTATCTGCTGCTCTAGAAGAGCATCTTTCTCCGAGCTTTGCAATTCCTGCGCAGCATTGTTCATGTTACTCTCTCGTCGCCGCTGCTGCTGCTGCTGCTGCTGCTGCTGCTGCTGGTGCTGCTCCGAGGCTGGTGTTCTTCGTCCCTCTATGGGGGGGCCCCCAGCACACACAGAGAGCGGAGAAAAGGCAGAGCCAGCAGGCCGCCTGGCTGCGTTGGGTTTTTCACGTTTTCGGTTGGGGCCCTTCTGCAGCCCGCCTGGAGGCCCCCCTCGCGGTTGCTGCTCCATTTCCTATGCTAGAGCAAACACTACTGCTGCTGCTACTGCTGCTGCTGCTGCTGCTGCTGCTGTGGTTGCAGCTGTCTGGATTTGCTGCTCTGTAGTTGGCTGTCAAGGACTGAACACAGGGCCTGCAGCACTCCTTCGTGCTGCTTGCTCAGCTCTAGATGAAGCTGCAGCTGCTGCTTCTGGGATAGGGGCAACGGAGCTGGTGCAGTGAAGCTGCTGGCTGCTTTTGTTGCAGCTGCTGCTTCTGCAGCTGCTGCTGCTGCAGCTGCTGGTGCTGCAGCAGCTGCTGGTGCTGCAGCAGCTGCTTGGGGTACACGTGTCTTTGCGATTTCCGTTTTTGGAGGGAGGG